CGGCGCACGTCAAGTCGCTACCGCCTTTGCGCACGCCAAGCGTACCAAGGAGCGCATCATTGTCACGAGCATGTGTATCGGATCGGGTATGGGTATGGCTGCTGTATTCGTCAACGAGCAGTAACTGGATTTATGTATAATTTGATGTAATGATATTTTTGATGGCCAAGTCCCGTGCGAGCGTGAGAGTTCAAGACCGGGAATGCAAGTCTGTCGCGAGCCGACCAGATGATACTGGGTCAATCACGCTCCACGAAGACACTACAAACACTAAATCGCATTTACAAGTTTACCACACCAAGCGAAACCCTCATCCAATTAAACCACAAAAATGCACCCAACGCTGATTAGTCGCCAATCCAATAGAGCAACAGAGGGACAACGACATGCCCAGCGATGAGCCTCGTAGGCTACTCTCCTCGAACCCGCCAGACCCCCAAGCCAGACTGTCCGGGAGTACTAGTTTGCGTGACTGTGGGGACCGAGTTGACTGTAAAGAAAGTTTTTTTGCTTCCGGGGAAGTTATATGAGCGTTGGTTGGTGGCCCGTGCGTTAAATGTTAAGCGCCGAGAATGGTTCCAGTGGTAACCGCCTTACATGCACCCTATGTTAATTCGACAACTGGTGAATCATAGATAGTTGTGGTTGTGTAAACGAAAAAATAACCTAGGCCAGATAATGTACACAGAAGCATACATCAAGAAGCATGTGTCCAAGTAAATGATTCTACGAAAATCTGGGCAGTATATGAGTGTGTTAGCCAAAACTGTATAAAATGGCACAACTTACTGATCAAGCATGGTCCGACAAGGCCATCCGGACGTAGTATCCACGTTCGAAATGACGCATACGAGGTGAGGAAAAGCCTTGAGTAAGCGCTCCCTAAGTTCGGCAATCGTGATTGGGGGGTTGGCTTCTTCTGTTTCAACAACGGTGCAACTCTCGAGATGCAGCGTTCGGACATTGTACATTGGCACAATGATTTTTAGATCGTCCAAGTTGATGTCCGACGATACCAAGTAGAGATGATTCAAGGCATGAGTCTGGCGGGAGCTCGTATCATTGCTCCCTAGCTCGGCTTCCATTGCCTCGAGGTCCTCTATATCGAGAATATTAAATTGGGATAGGACCAAGTTCTTTAAAGCGGGGATCGTCCTCGAAACCGACAGGGCCCATAGAGGGCTGGCCCCCGACACGCTGGCCTCGGAGAATACCAAGTTCTCAGTCGGGCCGTTGCGAAGGAAATCGTCGATTAGATGCGTGAGGTTGTCTTGGCTGTGCATGTGGAAACCTATACTCAAACTCCCCAGACATTTCGAGATCGAGACGAGAGGCAACAAGAGCTCCCAGCTCGCATCGTACATGCGGCCCAGATGGAGCACGCGCAAATGAACAAGTGGGATGGAAGTTGTTAGACCCCAATTCCTCGGACGCACGATTCCTAGTCCGCTGAGCTTCAAAACCTCTAGGGTAGGACTTGCTGCCAGAATACCGGAGAGTTGTACGGCCGAGATCCAAGTCTCGCTCTCTGCGCTAAACTCGAGTCGAAGGTCAACAAGACCATGATACGCCGTACTAGACCACGGAACCACCATTTCCTGCAAGTGAAGCACGGTGATGGAACGCAGCACGGCGTCCGAGTGCTGGACTGACTCCAAGTTGAATTGCCAATCGAGCGAAAGTCGGCTTGGGAACATGTGCGCTCTGGGTCTCTTTATGCGGAGTGTCTTTGTGGTTGTCGTGGACCCGTAGTCTAGCCAACATTTTAGGATAAGACTGATAGCGCGCGTACTGTATTCCCAAGATTCTATGTCTAGTGCCTGGACCTTTGGACTTCCTTGCGCAAGAAAGTAATATGGATATAGCCCATCCGGTCGACCACCGAACCAGCTCCTAGTCGCGACTTTGGGATCGGGTTCAAACAGATACAAGGACACGGGAAGAGTTCTAGAGCGAAATAGCGAGAGTACGGCATAGTCACAGTTAGTTTGGGTGGTAATGTTGATTATCGTCCACAGCGATGGGGTGTTGACGGCAACTTGCCTCCAGTAAGCGCTGACTCCAGTGAGCGAATGAACAGCGGGTGGGCTCTTCGTATCGTACGTGCTAGAACTACGTTGAACTATTCGAAAGATTGAAGCCAAGATCTCTGGAGGGAGCGTGTGAAGCGGGGCTAGAGTTGTTGACAAGTT